GCCCCACAGGCATGTAAATGGCTGCTGCCAGATGGGGGAGGGAGGAGGGGTTGCGGGCGAAGTGGGGCGCGGGATGCGTTCGCACGTTGCAGGTAGCGAGGGTTGGATCCGCTCACTCGGGTAGGAAGCGTGCAGGGGAAGGGGGGCCCTTCTGGGCGAAGGCGCTCCCAGGGCCGCACGCGGGGGATGTTGGCCTCGCGCACCGGCACCTGCTCCCTCCAGGCGGTTTCCTTTGTCCCGAACGCTTTCCGGGGGCTTCGGAGGCCTCCCCGTGAAACTTTCCACGGCCGGGAGTAACAGTCACGCTTCCCCACGAATCCTTCAGGGGTCCAAGCCCCAGCCTGCCCGGAAGCGGTTAAAAGCTGACCTTGCTGCGCCTCGGGCCGAACGGCTTTCCCGCATTTTGCAAATCGATGCTAAGCTGCTTCGGGAGGGTCGGCAGGCTAGAACTGCTCTCCGTTTCATATTTAGATTTGCGTCCCACCTTTTCTCCCGGAGCTCAAGGGCGGCGTCCCCGTTTCCCGCAAACAGCAGCCCCGCGAGGCCCAAAGTCGCGCAGAGGGCCCGTGGCCGGCAGTGGCCGCCGCCTGGCTCGCCCCGGCTCTAGTGCAGCGCCTTAAGCCCCCAGGGCGCCAGAAGGGTAAATATGCGCCGACACGAAGCCGAGGCCCTTAAGGTTTATGCCGCGGCGGTTTTGTTGGAAGGGCGCTTTTATTCAGGAGAAGCGTGGGCGTTTTCCCATATAGATGGGGCGGGGGGGGGCACAATTGAGAGAAGAAGAGAACCCAGGAACCTAGAGGTGGCCCCGTCTTTGATTCTTTCAGGTTCAGTCGCGTCCTTAATTCTCAGGGGCTAGAAGGAAAAGCTGTTTTCCCTTTTCTTCATGCAGATCAAAAGCTCTCTGGGGTCCCCAAATGTGGACCCGCTGTTGCTTTTTAAAAGGGCTTTATGGAAGCACGGCTCCTGGTTTCTGGAGGGCAGTTAACCTAACTTCCCTTTGTGGCTGCTGAGCATCAAGCCTGGAGGATGCAGCGCCCCCCAAAATGCAGCCCCTCTTGCCCAGCATCTCTCTGCTGCTTTGGGCTTGGTTTGCCCACCCTGTGAAGGTGCAGGGGTGAAGCCGTTGTACCCTATGCGTGGTTGCCCCAAGACCAATTGGGCACTATGACTTTTTTCACCTCCAGATAAAACCTCCCCCTATTAAAAGCACCAGGAAGAAATGGCTGACCATCACATTATAAAGGCAACTGAGCTTGAAGAGAACTGGCAAACCGTGGTTGGCTGCACGGGCCGGCTCAGCCGTTGCCCTCCCCTGTCAGGTGGTCTTTCTAGGATCAGAAGAATCATAACTGTGTTTGGCTTCTGGGCCAAAGCATGTGTCAGCAACTTAGGTGGAGTTTATGCAGTGGGCAAGCCCACATTACTAACCATTGCTTGTTGTATCCTGCTTTATTTAGTAAGCCCACTTATCTGCATTTAGCCAACACTGAGTTTTAAAATAGCAACACCTGTGGCTTAACACAGTACATGACTCCAGCCACTGATCTTGAGCAGTGTTTCTCAACCTTGGCCACTTTAAGATGGGTGGGCTTCAACTCCCAGAATTCCC